CTGGATTTCCTATCCATACAATTTTGTAATCTCTAGCTATGTGGCGAACACTGTTTTTTAATGCTGCTTCAAAAGTACCTTTTGAAAGTTGCAAACAGATCAACAAGAGTGAAATCCAGGTTCCTCTTCAGTTTGTGACACAACTCCCATGGACTTCAATGGGACTGAGATTTCATAAGTCTCCTTTTAATTTGTTAGTTTTATCTTTTACATATTAAAAGTCCTGGTGACTTGGCTCTCATTGGAATTATCTGCACTGAGCATTTTCATTTTATAAACAACCTTGAAAGTTTCCAACAGAACTATATGAGTAATGGAAGTTTTAAAATTTTCCCCATAAATAACTGCAGGTGTGTCCTTAAGCACACTTCAGATTTTGACTGAAAATTTAGTCTAAGCCTTAATGATATCTTCTGGGCAAGGCAAGTATCAAAATAACATGCATCATTCCTTACACATTCAGTCATTTAAGAGAAGGTTTTCTGTTCCACGTAGCTATTTCCCTTCTTTACCTGGAGCTCCTGCAGAACCTTTTTGACCTTTTAGTCCATCCAAGCCATCCAGTCCGGGCAGTCCAGGAAGACCTGGGAGGTATTACAGGTATGACTGGGTGCCACAATAATCCTTTAAAGTCACAATTAAGGACTTTTTTTTTTTTTTTTTTTTTTGTCCTGGCACCCAATATTGATCAAGACAAGGTATTTTGTAATTCTTGTTGGTAACTAAAGATGAGATCACATTGCACCTGAGTGCAGTCTTTTTGGAAAGGAAAATGTGAAAAAAATCTGAAAATATAAATCATGAGACAGTGTCAAACCAAAGCAATTGGAAAATGTACGTTTTAATCGTAGGTATTGCTATACTGCAGCTAGCAGTAGGCAGCTCAGCATGGGCTGTTTTACTCTATAGTGAACACTGTGTCTATGGCTAGACTACTACTGCTACATGTGATTAACTAGTCTGAAATTAGCTGGTGACTGGGATGCAGACACTACCTAAAACAACTCTAAAGCTGGAACTTCTTTACAGCTTCTTTTCCAAATGTAAGTGCAATTTAATCTAGCCGCACTAGAAAGAAGGTAAATTTTCACCTGGCTTCTTTTCCCTGCTTTGTAATCTGCACTTCTCTGAAAATTGCTAAAACACAAGAAGTAAAAACATAGATGGCATTTTTTGATTTTACAATGTTGAACTAACCTGAGGTTGTTGTTTGCAGTGAAGGGAAAAATATCTCCATGTCATTAGCACTTTACAGTTTCCTAAATTGCATAAATGAAGTATTAAGTGTGAAGATGTACAGTTATAAAATGCAGATGGCAGCCTACCACCTGGAGATAGGAACAGGTCTGGCAAAACTGGTGCATTATTTGGCAGTAGGTTTCAAAGAGGTTTCAGACAGAGGAATAGACTTGAGGTGCTTCTTGATCCTCAGGAGGACAGATCAGAGTGCTACTGATCATCAAGAAGTTGAACAATACTGTTAGTGCTTATTCCTTCTCCACTTCTGCTGCTTATCTTTGCCAGATTTCATTCCCCACCAATTCCTCTCCCTGCCATGTAGGATTCCCAGTCTAGATGCAGTGGTGATTTTTTTCCCACAAGTGTGAATTATCTTTCTGTCTGTTTCCTTTTCCCTGTCTAGCTGCTTCCTGGCATAGATGATGTTGGTTCTCCGCTTTAGTTCCTGTGCTTGATCCTAGCATGTCCTGCAGCATGCTGCTATATGTGCAAAGCATGAATCATGGGAGAATTTACTGCTCTACTTAAGCACATATGAATGGATATATTTTCTCAAAGTCTATAAGCTGATCAAATTTCACAGCAACAAATTGTTGTAGGAACAGCAACACAAATGCCTTTCTTCAGCTGCTTCACCTGCCAAATTTAAAGGTCCCTAGTTCAAAAATGCGTCATCTGAGAAAGGAAACTTTACTGCCCTTTTATTTTTCCTAACAGATACACCAAAAATAACCCCACAGCTTTGTTCTCAGAAACTGTTGTGTTCTTTTAGGTAAATTTTAACAAAGGAATGAAAGGAAAGAAGGGGAGGAGGAAAATCCAGCCTATAGCAAACACTGGTCTGGAATAAAATTTAAATCCAGAAGATTGTTTGAAAACTTGCAGGACATTGATAATATACTCTTGTGTAATCCCCTTTATAATATGGGGGATATATATATATATATATATATATATATATAATCATAGAAACAACTAGGTTGGAAAAGACCTTTCAGATCATCAAGTCCAACCGTTACCCCAGAACTCCCAAAACCACTAGTAATACAGCCTGTAATATCTTCTATGCCCTTAAGCAACTGCTCTTTAACTTTTCAGGACGTTCTGAGTTTCAATGCTGCTTTCTGTAGCCTGCTTGTGCTTTGGGCATGTTCCTGTTTTCAAATTTATGTAAGAGTTGCATGCCAATTTGGGAATTTAACAATGGTATTTTAAAATTATTATGAACTCCTAACTATTTTGGCACCCAGGTGATCATTTTAAACTTTTTTTATCTTTAGCTCATTCAGGCAAGACTGATGGTTTGGTTTACTTGCTTTCTGACACATTTGCCAACAATCCATTGTAATATCAGCACTTGTAATTCTAGGTTTTTGGTTTGCTATAGTCCAATATTTCTAAGTACAGCTGAATTGGCTGACCTATACATGAACCACTGTTACTGTATTTTACAGCCCAATTCAGCTTCTACTCACACAAGCAATTCTGGTGTTCTTAATATTACTTGCTTCATCAAGAATTACACACACAGTAAGGCTTGCCAGACTAAGACTTTAACTAGTAAAACTATATAATAAAGAAAATGTGATTATGCTTTGGTAGATGCTGTTTAACTAATTTTATCTCTTTTTTAAATCTAGTTCTTCAAGGCACAAGACATTTAATGTAAGTGAGAAGCAATTAGACTAACAAGGCCATGTACTTAGCAATGAACAGCCAATTAACCATTTCACTTCTAATGCTAGCAACAATGTTTTGTTGAAAATAGCAGTAAGATCTATATTCACCAATTGAACTGGAATACAAATTCCATTCAGTTTTCATTACTGGGTATAATTTCAAAGGTGTTAACCTTCTTTTCAATTAAGCTGGCAGTATGGCAATATATAGGATACTAAGACTCAGTAGGCAACTTGGTCTCTAGTAAACTGCCATTTGGAACTGACCTTTTCCCTCTGCAGCATATGTATTAATTTGTTATGTTTCCTTGAGAACTTCCGCACAATATAGAGCAGAAGTGCCTTACCATTATAACAAGAAGAGTCCATCTGCTTTAGGTTTTCAGAGGAAGAATGTGGTTTTTTTTTTTTCACCCCTCTCGATTGAGACATCCCTTGTCACTGCAGAACTCTGCTTTTGTTACAGAAAATATTGTTTGCAACAAGGAAGACTTTTCTCTTGCAGACTATGCACTAGCAAGGAATCTGTCATGACAGTTTAAATCAGCACCACTTAATGACTGCAAGCAATCATAAATTCTTTCCATTTAAATTTTTCAGTAGGCTGAATTTGAAAATGTTTATCTATTGTTCTCTAACCATTTATCATAGCCCCAAGTTTTACTTTACTTTGATTTCTATGTATGGGTCAATAAATTATCTTTCCTGTCCAGGAACATGTTGTAAAGCACACTATTACAGAGAGAGGGTACAAATTATGTAGTTGATTACCTTCTTTGTGAAGTATTAATGTAACTTATAATTTTTATGTATCATTCTGTGTATAGTAAAAGTTAATAATGTTCTCAACTGTACAGATGACCTATTCAATCTAATCATAACAATCACTGTGAGAAGTGTAAATCAGGATTTGGAGGAAATATTTCTCTGTTAAATCCACCAAAAAATCAGGTTTTGGAGATGTCCTAGTTTTGCCAGGGATGGAGAAAACAAAAAAAACCCAAACAACTCACCACAACAAAACAAACAACAAAAAACCAACCCAAGTTGTTGTAATTTGTTAAAACAAATTTGTAAGAACTGTCCACAGCAGTCTGCTGGTAGAGTAACACTGGCACTCCATGGTGAGAAGGTAGAACACAGCATAATTGAAGTGACGTATCTGAATTACTGCAAACTCCTTTTTCTGTCCTAAACTTCTGCTATCATATCAGCTGAGCCACAATCTGTTTCTACCTTCTTCTATACCTATTTTTGAATGTAGTCCAAGTTTCTAGATAGCGTTTATGTTACTTTTAAAAGGTGATGAGAACTGGCTTAATTCTTCTTATAGTTTAAAAGAGCAGAGAATCAAAATGATGCTCACAGGCCTTTTCTATTTTCACTGCTAAAAGGATATTTATGCCGGGTGCTGTTATATTACCAGTAGTACTGCACTGCATACTGTTTACCTTTTCTGCCTTGGGATCCAGCTAATCCTTGCAGTCCTGGAGGTCCCAAAATTCCATGTTTCCCTTTTTCTCCAGGTTCTCCTGGCAATCCCTGAGGACCTGTAGCTCCTGAGAGCACAGAAAAAAAAACAACCAAACCTGTGAATATGCAAATCTATTAAGCTGTTGATTTTTATTTTTTGATGTATTATGCAGCACACTCTGTTAATCAGAGGTACCTGAAAGTGTGTGGGAATGTATGAAGAACTGACAGATCTTACACTCTGAGACTCTGAGCAGACTATTGCTGCTGTCTATAGGTACTGAAACAGGTTCCAGTACACTTTCGTATGATCTCTGATTTCTTTAGCCTTCTCCTCAGAGGTGCATCCTCAGCTGCATTTTCCTGTTCCATATCTCTAGAGCTATTACATGGCACTGTTTTTTAAACTTCAGCATTACCTGGAAGTCCAGGTATTCCTGGGTGTCCAGGGTCACCCTTGGATCCTGGTCTTCCCGGTTGCCCTTGGATACCTGGTGAACCCTTCTCTCCTGGGAATCCACGGAGTCCTTAAAGAACAAAAGAAATACCTGGCATTTATTTCTTTAAATTTGTCCATTGTTCATCTTATTATAAGCTTAAAAATATAAAAGTTCAGTAAGTTTCTTGTCTAGAAAAATAATGTTATTTAAATACTTCAGATACTTGCATCCACTTATTAGCAATGAATTTTTCTGATCTCTCTGGTGATATCTGAAAGAGCAGAAATGACTGGTAGGATATAGTTAAGCCAGGTTTTATTCTGGTAAGTACTGGTATGTTCATCAGTGCTGTACTAGACAACAGTAGGCTACACCTCCCATTTTCACGCTAGCCATATTGCACACTGTGATGCCTCTCCAATCCTTGGGTTTATAACTACAGAAAATAGCCCTCAGTGTGCACAGGAAGCAGAGCTCCTTTTCTGCTAACAAAACTTAGAGAAGATAAGTTCTTAAATCCAATTTTTTCTTCAATCAGACAGAGGTACCTGGTAATCCTGGATCTCCAGTATGCCCTTTTGGACCATGTGTACCAATCAGAGGAGTGGGGTCACCTCTCTTGCCTGTAGAGGTACAATGAGTTTTATTTAGTACAAATACTCTTTTCATCCACAAAATCAAAGCTGGACAATTTTGTAAGATCAGATAATTTACAGATATTAACAGCTGTACAAGGGACTAAGAGAATACCGAATGAAAAATGCTTTGGCACATGCAAATTATCTGCCAGCTCAGCTTGTCTTAAAGTACTAACTCAGTTTCTGTTTAGTATGGCTCAGGGCAGCATTAATGAAAATTTTCCATAATGAAAAAAAGAAAAACAAAAATTACGGGAACTTTTGCAATACTGACAGCGTATACTGAAAAAGAAAGATACTGCATAAAATCCCTAGAACACTTTAATAAACAGAGAACTCCTTACATAGGTTTGTGAGGATGCGCAAAATCAATACATTGTGAGTCTATTTACCCAGTAAAGACCTTTCAGGGACTAACTAACCAGGGACTTAAAGGCAGCACACCTCCTTCTTTCTGTCTTTGCTGAAATTCCTGTTTATCACAGAATCAATAATTCTGAGCGGTTTTGCCTTGCAATGTCTCTTCAAATGTCTGACCTCTCCTACCTATTCATGCTGCCTTCAGCTTCATTGTCTGATTTTGTTGTGAACAGTTAAGAGGAAATACCAAGTTCAAGTGTTGCTAGAAATCTCCTGCCATAGCAATCCCCACCTTTATTGGCTATTTTCTGCTTTTGCATTAAGGATAAGTTTTCCAGAAAATTTGTTTTCAATGCATTTCACACAACTTTTCCTTATATTGAATATTGTTCTTTACTTTTTCTTTTTTTTTTTTTTTTTTTTGTCTCAGGTCAGACTTGTTTCTAATGAGCTTCATGTTTTAATTTTTTCCCTCCTTTCCTATTTTCTCTTTTCTAGTAAGTACTCACCATCATCTGTCAGAGCATATGCATCCTAATAATAGTGCTCTTTTCCAAAGCATGTCAATATAAATTACCTTTGGATCCTTTTGGGCCAGGCAGTCCTGGATTGCCAGGGATTCCTGGTAAGCCATGGTCACCCTGTTGTTTTTTTTTAAACACAAAATAAAAGCGTTTGACATATGTGTAGCAGGAATGATCTATAAGCACATTTGGTTCTCTTACACAGGTAAACAGATCAGCAATTAATATGAATAGCAAAACTATATCTTCAGCTCAACAGAAAATCATCATGCTGTCTTTGTTTATGTCTAACACTGACCATTAAGACTTCCAAGAAACTGTAGATTAGACTTGGTAATCATTTGGAATTTGTGCTTTTACAGTTTATGATAAGTCTTGGCTTGAGCAGCTTAAATTCCCCACAGATGGCTTGAGTAATTTGATTTAAAAGGTACCATAAAAATGTACCAAATACTGTTGTATGCATCCCAAATTTACTATAAACATTAACCAGAAATATGTTGTGATGTAACAGTAAAAATATAAAGATTTATCTGTTTTTCCTTTTGAATAATGACCTATAATCAGCAAAACAAAGATTATCTCTTAAAAAAAAAATAAAAGACAATCCAAGCCAAGCAATATCCATTTACCAGAAAAGCAACGGTGATTTTATGTTTCATGTAATCTCACTGCCTGTCTACCTAGCATAGAAGCCAGTGAAGAATTTTGCTTTACATCCATGTGTGATACATGTGTGGTTTCGCATACTTATTCTTGAGCAATACTGCTTGCCTGGATTCTATTTGGTGCAAATTTTCAACGTGGGCACAGAAGACTCTTGTTCTCTCTTGTCTGTTGGCTTGGCTGCTCCATGTAGCAAGATGTGAAGAAGCAGCTGTATATTAATTTTATACTTGTGCTGCTGCTGTGTTATGATTGTGATCTGTTAATCTGTTTGTAGGAAAGATGTTAATGACTTGATTGTGCATCCATTTTTTCCTCCCTCCTCTCCCTGAAACTTGTGCAGTGTAGCCTGGACTTGCGCTAAGTGGCAATATAACAAAATCACAGCATGCAGCAAGGGAAGAGGGGAGAGGCCCTTTGTTGACTCTGATTAAAAGGTAATCAAGGCATTGAATTGTTACATTAGGGAGTTTTTACCTTTCCTATTATACTGACAGTCTCTTCTGGGGAGGAACATCTAATGGGTAAGTAAGTACATCTAATGGGTAAATACAATAGAATCCTTCATCATATTTTTTGGAGGCAGGATATAGCTGAAAAGTCCAGGACATTTCACTACTACTTTGTTTACCTGGTCACCTGGTTGTCCTTGAAAACCCGTAATTCCTTTTAAGCCCTTTGGTCCTGGGAAACCCTGTGATCCTGGAAACCCCATCAATCCAGTGTCACCATGGTCACCAGGCAGTCCTGGGACACCATTCTTCCCTGGAAATCCTGGGGTGCCTCTGAAACCGGTATTGCCTTTTTCACCTGAAGTTAATTGCAGAACAAGATAATGACCAATATAGTCAAGCCATTATTTGACACGTATAGCTATGCTTTTACACTATGTGTATTGCCTTAGTAAATGTCAAAAGAAACTAGACTGCTAGTTTAAGTATCTATAAACAATATAAGGCTGGGCTTTACTTTATGAACTTACCTCTTTCACCTCTAAATCCGTTCTCACCAGGAAACCCTGGTTCCCCCTTTTGTCCTTTCTCAAGATGGATGTTAATACAGCCACTGTCTCCTGGAGGCCCTCTTTCACCTTTGAGCCAAACATATGGAATGGAAGTAAATCCTTATGAGTGACATGTCCTGAAAATTAATTTTAGTAACAACTTCCCTAACAGAGAAAGCCTTCAAATACTAATGCAGTTCTCAGTTGTTTCAGCAGGCTCACTACTAACAGAATTTATTACCCTTCTCTTGCTTTTTAGTTGATTCAGTAGTAACCCATGTGATGCTAAATCAGAATTATTCCCTTCTTGTCTGGAATATGAAAGATGGCAATTGTCCATTTCACAGTGTACTGTCTGTGATTGCACCTTGGAGATGGTTATTGTCTTTCCTACATTAATATTTACAGATTTTAAAGAACACAAACAATATGATAGAAAACTAGAAAAAAATCTAAAGTTTCAGATGTGTGCAGGACAAATCTCAAGGTTTATTTGAATAGGTGATTAACTCTGTTTAATTTAGTGTTAAATGCACCTATTGATCTCAGTGAAATTTATTTTTCTTTCATTATATTTCATTATGCATTTGTGAGATTAACAGGATTTAATATTTAGTATCTCTGAAAATAGAAGCGAATATATCTTTACAGCAAGAAGAAAAAAGTAAACACATTCCTAACACACTAGGAATGAAACCAAACGTAGCAGTAACGTAACTTGAGAATGAAGTGGATTTTTACAAACCTTTTATTCCCATATCCCCACAATCTCCACTAGGCCCAGGTGGACCCATTTCTCCTTCTTCTCCTTTAACACCAGAGATCCCCATTGGGCCTTGTGTTCCTGGGAGTCCTGGGAATCCTTGGGGTCCTTGAATCCCTTTGCTTCCTGGTAATATTAAATGCTTTATTTACATATTCAGCATGCTATGCTGTTCCTGTCATATTCTAAGGAGGAGTATAAAGCAAAAGGCAGGGAGTTTAGAATGGCTCCTTAGGAAATCAGCAAAGCTAGAGAACCAATGGAGCATGGCTTCATTCCAAGATCAAAGTTGTCTTGAAATCCAGGTTGACTTGAACCAAGCATCTTCTCCCTCCCTGCTACCTCCCCCTTGGAGGTTTAGGCTACATTTACTACTAAAGCAGTTATTCCCAACATCTTAAGTACAGTGCGTAGTCTAAGACACCACCAGATTTTGCATATGGCTACAGGTAATCATGACTTCTATGTCCAGATGACAGACAAAACCAGGATTTTGCTATAGTTATTCAGAAATCTTGCACATTAGCCAGTGATGATTTGGGACTAAGCTCACATTTTTTTTAAGTATTACACATAATGTGAAGCTATTTCTCCACTTACTCATAGAATCAGTCATTTAGGTTGGAAAAGACCTTTAAGATCATTGATTCCAACCATTAACATAGCACTGCCAACTCCACCAATAAACCAGTGCCTCATCTACACATATTTTAAATGCCTCCAGAGATGGTGACTACACCACTTCCCTGAGCAGCCTGATTCAATGCTTGACAACCCTTTCAGTGAAGAAATTTTTCCTAATATACAATCTAAATTCCCCTGGCACAACTTGAGGCTGTTTCCTCTTGTCCTATAGCTTGGTGCTTGGGAGAAAAGACCAACACCCACCTTGCTACAGCCTCCTTTCAGGTAGTTGTAGACAGCAATAAAAGGTCTTTCCTCCAAACTAGGCAACATCAGTTCCCTCAGCTGCTCCTCTTAAGACTTCTGCTCTAGACCCTTCACCAGCTTCATTGCCCTTCTTTAGACATGCTCCAGCAACTCACTATCTTTCTTGTAGTGAGGGGCCCAGAACTGAACACAGTATTTGAGGTGTAGCCTCACCAGGGCTGAGTATAGGGGGATGATCACTTCCCTAGTCCTGCTGGTCACACTATTTCTGATACTAGCCAGGATGCCGTTAGCCTTCTTGGCCACCTAGGCACAAGCTGGCTCATGTTCAACCAACACCCTCAGGTCTTTTTTCACCAGGTAGCTTTCCAGCCACTCTTGTCCAAGCCAGTGGTGTTGCATGGAGTTTTGTGACCCAAGTGCAAGACCCAGCACTGAGCCTTCTTGAACCTCGTACAATTAGCCCTGTCCCATGAATTGTCCAGATCCCTCTGTAGAGCCTTCCTACTCTCAAGCAGATCAACACTCTTCTTCACCAAGTCATCTGCAAACATAGGGTGCATTTGATTCCCTTGTCATTGATAAAGACATTAAACGGAACCAGGCCCTGAGGAACACCAGTTGTGACTGGCTGTAAAACAACTAAAGCACCAGGATGCACCAAGATGCATCAAACTATTTCCTTTGTTTTTATTGTAAGAGAAAGAACAGAGGATGCTATTGTTACTGCCTCTACCCTGCTGCAGGGTCTTATTCTTGAAGCTGGAAAGAGAGGAGGGTGCAAAATATTTCTTAGCTTTAACAGCAGTAGAAATAGTTCCCTCTACAACAGAAGTTATAGACAAAGTGCTTTGCAGGATGTTTAACATACCTGCTTTTCCTGGGAAACCAGGTGGTCCTTTATTGCCTGGAAGTCCTGGAAGTCCTCGAGAGCCTGGAGGACCTGGGGGACCTTGTGAGCCAGGAGAGCCTTTGAGACCTTTGATTCCAGGTGGCCCAGCTAGGCCCCTGTCTCCCCTTTGACCTTTAAAGCCTGGTAAGCCTAAGAACAAGAGATTTAACCAATGTATATAAATGCAAGACAAGGGTTCACCAATTGTATCTAAAAAATGTAAAGTGATAGCTTTTGGTATAAATTTGAATATCAACAAACACAGCAAAATAACTTGGAAACTTTACTACTGGAGTACTGGGTCTGCCCAGATTTTTAACCTGAAATTTTTTTCTTGTATTTCTTTAATGAGAGACATGAGTAGAAGCTCCCTGTGAAAAATCCTTACTAATTTGTAAATACTTTTGGTGTATATGTCCCCTAGCTATCCCTAAAAATCTTTTTAATTTAAGAATAAGGAAGATAAAAGTATTACAGTAATGACAAGAGCTCAGTTAAGTTACTCAGGGCAACAGAAAAGTGATAACTCTTCCATTTGTTACTTAACTGAACACACTGTGATTTGGCCAGTTAAGGAACAGTGCAAAAAAGGGAAGTGAAGTTGGGAAATGTCTGATATGCACACTGTACATTCCCTGAGTTTAAACAAATGTGTAAAACATTAATGTACACCCCTACTAATGAGCAGCTCCCATGGACATATTTGTCATGTCAGCCACAAAAATCATGCTATTAAATCTCCTAGAAAAGATGTGCAGAGCTTAGAGCAGTGAGACAACTTTATGGATGTTGTGTACCTTGAGGTCCTGGCAGGCCCATGACACCTACAAGTCCTGGTGGCCCTGGTAAGCCTGTGTCACATGGTGGACCAGGGAAGCCTGGGCAGCCTGGTGCTCCTATATCACCTTCTGGTCCTCTAAAACCTTTGGCACCTGTAAATCCTGGGACACCAGGCTGTCCTGGAAACAAAAAACATTGTAAAATATTTACTTCCACTACCATCCATCAGAATTCCTAATTGTTATTTTTAAACTTACATGTTCAGTTATTGCAATATCTCACTTATCCTCTATTTTTGCACAGCTTGTGAAAATTGATGCTCTTCTGCAATTTAGAATTGGCCAATGTGGAGAGCTTCTTTCTTTAAGCTAAATAAAAATTCAACCCTCGTCCCTAGGTGAGGATGACTTTATGGATCAATAAGCAAGTTTCTGATGTGTAAGTGCGTAATGGAAGGAGCTCACTAGCCTGCATGAGCTGCACAGCACTGGGGTCAGTTCTATAGGTATTTGCTGCACAGAGGAGGGTGTGTGTCTGCTTAGGGCTGGGGAAGAGGAAGACCTATAAAAGGAATCAATAGTATCTACTATGAAGAGGGAAGTGGCACCATGGAGACATCTGTAGCAAGACCAGTGTAGTGCACAAGATATTGAGGTTTACATTGAAGAACTCTGAGCAAAAAAATTAACCTCTCTCTCCCTGAGTGTTCAACTGCCTTTTGCCAGTCTTTTCAGATTTAAGTAAACAGTCTGATGTAGGGATTGTCTGTATGGTATAGCAGGAGGCCCTAAACACAGATGGCTGCCAGGCAGCAAGTAACAGTAGCAAGAATAGGAAGCTGCAGTGTTACTCCACAGACTGGGTAAAAGCATCCTCCCTTTCCTGCAGTGCAGATCTCCTTAGTGGCTGGTCAACCTTAACTGTAAAAATGTAAATGAAAAATAGGGCATACCATTCACAGTCACCATTATGGATCCAGGTAAAAGAGTAAGTTTTATCTGAATCAGGACCAAATTTGCACAGATTTTCCTCTTTGGACACATGGAAACGCTTTATAAAAACTGGCTCATACCTTGAGGCCCAGGAATGCCTGGATCACCCCTTGCTCCTTGTGCACCAGGGGGTCCTGGCAGTCCCCTGTTGCCTGGGATTCCTGGAGGACCATATGTGACATCACCTGCAACACCTTTCTGACCATCTATGCCACGTGGACCTGCAGGGCCATTTTTACCATCAACTGTAGATCCTCTTTCACCTTCATCACCAGGATCACCAACTTTGCCTCGAAAGCCTGTTGATACAATTTTTAAATTCAAAT